TCATCATCATCATCATCATCATCATCATCATCATCATCATCATCATCATCATCGTCGTCGTGTAGACCATCATCATCATCATCCTCACCATCATCGTCTCCCTCACCATCACCACCACCATCATTGTCTCCACTATCGTCTCCACAACCATCATCATCATCACCATCATCGCCTCCTCCATCATTTTCATCACCATCATCATCATCATCATCATCATAATCATCATCATCATCATCATCATCATCAATCTGCCAGTTGTAGGAACGCCTGTCCATGTCTCTTGCTCTTGCATTCAACCACATCACGTACTGTGGCCCCCGGCACGGCCCTCGTCGATGAAAGGCCCCGCATCTCCCCGTGTTTATTATTGCAAGCCAACCCGCTGTAACTGCTGTTGTCGGAGAGCCCTCTCGAGCGACGAGCCTCGGATGAAACATTCACGAGCGATTACTGCAAGAAGCGTCCGCGAACTGAAGGCGTCCGAAAGAAGACCGTTAGCCCGACAGAGAAGGGAGAGCGAGATAGGCGGTGTTTACTGTGGTATTGTAAGTGTAAGATTTTGTCGCTAGTTTCGACATTTTAAGGTTGTTGTTCAAGCTACCTCGGTGAATTGGTGGTAAATGGCATTATTTGAGTATGTACTTAGTAAACACGTGGTAGTTCAGAGTTTGATTCCCAGCGAAGTCAGAGCGTTTCCTAGCCTTCCAAAAATAATATGTTGGCTTAACCCATAGCTCTGACTAGGGTCCCATTTTCTACGTGTTTGAAATAACGAATTTAAATATTTCTAGAAGAACAAAATATCTTTAGAAAAGCGAATTCATGATTTCGAAGCAATATCAGTGTTCCTTTGCCATAAATTTAAATTATTTACCTGATCTTAAAGCTCAGTCGCATTTTCTGTGTAGTTTATGAAAGTGACTTGCACAAATTAAGAGACCACACCATATGATTGTCCTCCAATGAACATATCCTCAAACTCAATATGACGCTAAAACCTCCCACGCAAGCCCTCTTTGCACTGTCTGCCCCTCTCCCCCCTTCTGTGCTCATTCCGGTTGTCTCGGGCCGAGCCCAGAGAAGTGGAAGGGGAAAGCGACCCATGCTCACCTTCCTATCCAAACAACCTACTCGCGCATGCTCACAAGGTGTCTACAACGTCTTATCTGAAGTCTGACGTATTCATTGAGAGAAAGCAAGACTCAAAATCATCTTTAAAACCTGCCAACAACCACCCCTCTTTCAGGCGTGGTATGCTTATGACATTATATCGAACCTCCGATATTTTATTGCAAAATAGTTGATTTCATAACCGCTGTAAAAACCACCGCCTTCTCCATATCCCTGTTTTGCTCTGACCTCGCAACGCGGCTAGCCCCGCCTCATTACGGTTGTCACGCCTTATTACTTCCCCTTACTGCTCATCGGCCTTTGATCCGGTAGGTGGCGGCATCGGTGCGCTTCCGTTAAGCTCCACTTCCGGAGACAAGTGCAAAACATGATTTTACGCATCGACGCCTGGCGAAGAACCACCCGGAGACACATGGCTGTGTTCCCACTTGTGCTCACCACCAAGCCCAACCACATGAGAAGTGAAATAACACTAGTGGAAATCCACCACGAAATACTGTTGACTGTTTTCGTTACGGAGGGGGGTTTACTTTTCCAGTTTTGTCTACGAACACACAGACTTTTTGGCAACAGCAGTACTGTTCGTGTCGATTACAACAACAACAACAAAGGGAAAGTGTTGAATGTTTGTATAATAAATGACTGACTTGTCTTGCTTTGTGAGTTCACCTCAACGAGAGCTTCCCTTACGTACGAGGTATTTTGGAGCAGAGTCTGAACACGTAATATTATGGCTTAGAGGCCGTTTGTCTTTTTACGAAACCTTAGATACAATTTTCTGTAACCACCTAACGTACAGGTGTTGAGAAAGTAATTTAGTTGACTAGAATCACCTAGCGATTCCTTGGATGGAGCTCATGTACAGTCTAAATTAACTAAAGGACCCTACCTTGTGCGCTTCAGGAGAACCTGTCTTTTCACATTCAATTTGACATATGAGATGTATTTTGATATCACCCCAGCTACTATCGAAATTGCTATACAAAACGTTGCACATGCGCCACGCAAGTGCATGATTATTATTTCAAATTGTTATTATTATTAATCAATTTCAGCTTAGTTCTCTTCATGAGGGGTAGAGGATACCACTATAAGATCAACTTCTTTTCTGTTATCTATGTCTATCCCTATCCCAGTACCAAACGACCGTTTGTTTTGTTTTTTTGTTTTTTGTTTCGATGTGCTTATCTTTATTTAAACGATACTCAGTTCTCCTCGTCAGCGATGCATCTCAAACGTGTTATTTAAGCTTCAGGACTTGGCACTTCTCATAGTATAATGATTTATTTTTTAAACGTCTCGTTAAAATGAAATTGAAATATTTCTGCTTTCAGTTTGTGTATTAGCTGTTATTCCTAGTGTACAATTCTGTGAAAATAAAATTTCCACGAGTTACATCAGTTGTCGTTTTTTATAGAACGATATCGAAAATCCACGTTTGTGTTCCGGCTCAACGCATATGAGGAAGAATTATGGGGCTGCAGACAGGTCAACAGTTGCTGGGATATAATTTTTCTTTCGGTGTCATTTTAGCTCACAAAACAGTATTTTGATTTTAATTTTTGGGACATTTTCGCCATGTTCTTTTGTTTTTTTTTCGGTGCGCATGAATTTCTGAAGTAGGCTGATCTGATTCCAGAGACGTCTCGGTCTTTACCTTAGGAGACATCACGTGGCGGTA